AGGCCACTCGGCCAACTGTGCTTATTTTATATGCATCTAAACTCTTGTTTTATTCTATACTCTTGTTTTGCATTGCAACAGGGTGTTTGGAATAAACTTAGTTTAAAAAAATCAAATGTTTGTAAATTCCATTCACAAACCCAATGTAAAGTATCAAATGATATATTTCAGACCAATCAACACATTATCTGATTCAATTTGTGTGCCTCAACTTGCTAAAATGGAAAAAATCAGAAGCTAGATTAATTCAACGTGTTTGATACACGCTAATAGAAAACGAAGCTTGACGCGCCTGAACTAACCCAAGTTGCCCAAACTAGTACCAAAGTCAACCGTTCATCACGTATTTAGACATTATCACGGAATTGTTTTTCATAATTGAGCTTTGGATATCAATACTTTTAAGATAGTATGATAAATTAAGAGCTCAAAACTGGTCTGATTAAAAACACATCCAAGCATTAATAATAAACAAATTTTTTTTTACAGAATAAACAGCTGAATTTCTACTGATATTCATCACTGAGCAAATTTGAGATGTCAATGAAATCGAACTAAAGTCTTCGAGGATGCGCTTGTGATGACTGCTGGAAAGTATTTATTCCGATCACCCGCTTGACCTTTCCCCCTAAAGGGACGGGAATATACAATTGCGTGGGGAATATTTTATCATTCCTGATTTTTTTTACCTCACAGGGATTAAGTGTAGTATCAAAATAAAATCATGATTCAAAATCCGAAAAACTTTCGATAAGTTTCACTCATTATTCAGCAAAAAAAGCGTCAGAAGTTTTTTATTTTTAATTCAGGGGTCTAGCTTTTTTGTCTTAATTCAGTTGCCCTTTTTAGAAAAAAAACAAGTCATTTTGACAAAAAACTGAACATTAATCATGGAAAAATCCAAAAAAGTCAAATCTGTAAAAAAAATCTCTGTACTTTCCTGAAAGAGTCAATTTAAAATTAAGACATATTTCGTTTACAGATAAACTTAATCCTAACAAATTTCCAGATTCGGTAATTGTTACAAATCTTTAATTTTCTTTGTGTTTGAAAAATTAATTGTCTCTGTAAAATTATAGAAACAGCAAAAATTTCATCAATAATTACAAATTTTTCATCAACTGGAAAAATGAAACAAAGAAAAGTTGAGAAGTGGTGTAAAAGATCATGCCTAGTTGTTAACAAAAACTTCTACTATAATTTTGCAACAAAAAATCAAGTACCGCAAAAAAATTGGACTGAATTGCAAAAAATGATTAAACAAGTCGACAAAAAAGAAAACGTCTCTATTTTCAAAAATTGCACAATTTTGGAGCAACGCGTGTACTAGGCGAGAAGTGTTTAACTCTAAACGCTGCTTTCGTGACTCAAATAAAAAGAGGTTGCCTGACTAAGGTCTCATTGCGATTACCTATGGTAGATGAAAATTGCAAAACCTCCCCCCATCCAACAGAAAAACGATAATGAAATTTACAAAGACTTCTTTAGTGATTTTTTTCTCTTAATATTGACAATTGCAATATCACATTCGAGTTGTGCATTTTAAATCACCATTCTCTTTGTGGATTTTTTTTGTTATAATGTACTATTTTTGAAATAATAAATGTTATATTAACTGCAGACTATCTTGCGCTATAGAAAAAAGAAGGACTCTAGAAAAAAATTCTTAAATTCTAATTTGATTTTCTATAAAAAGTAATTTTATTTTCGCTTTGGCTTCAATAGCTAGGAAAAAAAACTTAGCTTAAAGTAAGTTCGGTACTTATACAATTTTGTATTTATTTTTCAGTTGTTTTTTTTAAATTCTGAAATAATAAATTCCAAAAGTTTTTAAACAAGATTTTTTTTCAATTTGTAATCAAGAAACTACTATTAAAAAGACTTTATTAGATTTTTCAAGCTTGTAGTAACATTTGGCTAAACAATTTATTTCGCAAAATTTTTCCAAAAAAAATTGAAATTTTTTAATTAGTTTGAACTTGACTGTATTTGGCTTGATTGTAATGGACTTGTTTTCATTTTTTTTGCTGTCGAATTGTTTTCTCAAGTTCGGATTAACGATATTAATTGCTAGCGTGTCCGCTCAGGTGTTCTGACTACAGAATGACTGGAATTTGCAATAGTACTGCAAGCACTTTTAAAACAATTTAATTTACCGCAAGAAAAATTTGTAGAGAAAACTGGGTGCAATATTAAAGTTTTTTGGTCAAGATTTTAGATCAACTTATTACTTTGACAATCACGCCAGTAATAAAACTAAACAGATGTTTTTAAATGCCAACTAACATGTTGTTATATGACTAGTTGCGGATTTTTTTCCATGTTTTGTTGTCCAAGTCTTAACCTTTGAAAAAAGTTTATCAAAAAAAAATGGTTAATTTTTGGTGTTTCCGTATTTTGGTACTAGACAGCCACTCTTAATCAATTTTGCTTTAAAATTGAGAAGAAAAAAGCAAACAAATCTAGAGAATGGTTAAATGTCTACGTTGGAATGTGGGGAAATAAAACAAAAAAACAATCATTTGACAGGTCGTTAGGGCCTACTGATGAATATCTCCACTGCATTTCGCATGAACCCAAATTGATTAATCTCAATTGTTTTCTTAAGTTCGAATTAAAGATTTCTAATTGCTAGCGTGTCCGCTCTGGTGTTCTGACTACAAAATGACTGGAGTTTGCAATAGTACTGCTGTAGGCACTTTTAAAACAAATTAATTCACCGCAAGAAAATTTTGTAGAGAAAACTGGGTGCCATATTAAAGTTTTTTTGGTCAAGATTTTAGATCAACTTATTACTTTGACAATCACGCCAGTAATAAAACTAAATAGATGATTTTAAATGCCAACTAACATGTTGTTATATGACTAGTTGCGGATTTTTTTCCATGTTTTGTTGTCCAAGTCTTAACCTTTGAAAAAAGTTTATCAGAAAAAAATGGTTAATTTTTGGTGTTTCCGTATTTTGGTACTAGACAGCCACGATTAATCAATTTTGCTTTAAAATTGAGAAGAAAAAAGCAACCAAATCTAGAGAATGGTTAAATGTCTACGTTGGAATGTAGGGAAATAAAACAAAAAAACAATCATTTGACAGGTCGTTAGGGCCTACTGATGAATATCTCCACTGCATTTCGCACAAACCACAATTGATTAATCTCAAATGTTTTCTTAAGTTCGAATTAAAGATTTCTAATTGCTAGCGTGTCGGCTCTGGTGTTCTGACTACAAAATGACTGGAGTTTGCAATAGTACTGCTGTAGGCACTTTTAAAACAACTTAAAGTACCTCAAGAAAATTTCGCAATGTTTTTGCTTTATAGACGATACTTTTCGACAACATCTTAGTGTTAATACAAACGTTTGTTTTTTCATCATCTCACAAATTGGTTACAAGTTGGTAACTAAGGTGAACAATAGCCCGAATATATAAGAGTTTTATCATCAACATTATCTTCCTATAATGATTAGATCACCCCCTGTCGTGGCAAGGATAGGATGCGATGACGCGCGCTCATTTGACCTCTGACTTTAAGTCTACCACAGCTTGATTGATTTCAACTGCAATAGTGATACCACGTGAAAATTCTAGACACAAAAAAAACAACTTGAGATGCAAAAGAGCTTCGCCCAACAAATTAACTTAAGTTGGAATGTGGGGCAAAAAGCAAAGAAACAATCCTTAGACAGGTCGTTAGGGCCTACTGATGAATTTCTCCACTGCAATTCGCATGAAACACAACTGAATAATCTCACCAGCGGATTTGGGGGGGACGCCCCTCACCCCCCAGGGATTTGACCCCCTGCCGACCCAAAGGGTCCCCCCTTTGTACTATTGAGATATCCATTTTTGGCTGACTAACCCTAAAAGTGTTTCAAAGGCGCCTTTGGCACCAATACACTTTAATTCAGAGGGGAGAGCGCGCGCCGAAAAAACGCAAGTTTTGGTTCAAATTTTTCCAAAAAATGCCTAAAAACGGGTTTTTTGGCCTTTTTTTCAAAAATTTGCTGCGGCGAGAACATTTGGTCAAAACGTGGTCTTAATAGTGATTTGAAAGAAATCAGAAAATCAATTTGGTCGACGTAAAAAAAAATTGGAGAAAATTCTAGATATGCCCTTGGTTAATCTGATCAAAAACTGAAATAAGTTATTTTCAGGGACACGGAAAGCTACTAATTCGCTATTAATTGTGATTTGCAAAGCAAAAATTTACGGATTAGATCAAAAATTATCCGAGTAGAACAAGACTTAACTTATGGGCCCAGGATGCTACCTGCTTTATAAAAAAGTATCAAACTTTTGCAATGTAGAATAAATGTTTTTTGATAAATGACGCTTTTGGCGACAGTTTTTTCTTAAATTAGATTAATTGTATCTAAATTTTAGTCAAAATTTGAATATATGTGCTCATATTTTTCTGCGTCAAAAAAGAACTCCGATGACAACCTTGGTTTTTTGCGCTAAATAATTTGAGCTTTTTGTCTTAAACCGAAATATTATGACAGTAGTAATTATAGCTACATTGAAGTCGAAGTTGAATTTTTAAGTATCCACAAAATATCCGATAACAAAATCCTATTTCTACGTTGCTGTAGATGGACTGTTGTTCTGACCACTTCACTTGTGACACGGGAACAAACAATGAGCTAGGTTTGAATTTTTAAATTTTGACAGTACCCGAAAGAAAGTTCAAAGGGCTGAAGTGAGGTACCAACCATTTTAAAGCTCTTTCGGGCGTGATTTTAGGTTTCAAAAAATTTGAGAAAAAGTCGTCTCATTGCTTAGGTTTAAACTTTTTCAATTGTTTCGTCTCATTGTTTCGGCTAACTTTGATGGGAGGCTGGAATCCCAGTATAATTCACTACATTTCACAATAATTTAGCGATTATTAATGCTATTTTACTACGAAAAAAAAACAAAAATGTTATAAAATGGTCAAAAAAATTCAAATTGAAATTAACTACCAAAATTTAATTTTTTACTTTTTTTACTTTTTTGTTTAGATTTCCTGGAATTGCAGACTTGAAAGTGGCCGATTTGTATCTAATTGTCAACTTCTTTTTCGTCTTTGCGAGTTTGATCGAGTTTGCACTTGTATCCTATGAACCTCCAGTGAAAACTATGGCCAAATCATGGCTACATTCCACACGCGAGAAACTCAAGACAAAAGCACCCGCTCAAAACGAAACCAAAGTTCAACTTTCTGAAAAAACAGCGAATAAGTCTTCAAACTTTCCGAAACTGATTCCAGATTTGCACAAATTACAAACAAGCAGTGAAAGATCAGAAATTATGAGCCAAAATGATGAAACAGCCGCTGTTAATGGCAACGATAATAAATCAGCAAAAATTATGGGACAAGTTAATGGATATTTATCTTCTGGGCTTGGAGTTGATCATAACTTGATAAAACCTCACTTGAAAAAGGAATCCATTAGCAGTGTGGAACGTTCCCCAAACAAGAATGAAAACCCTCTATCACTCCGACAAGCTATGTTAAGACGTGAAAAAATGTTCCAACATCAAGACCGTCAAAGTAACTCAGATTCACATAACGAATTCAGCGATAATGAATTAGTCGTCTCCAACAAAAGTGCAACGAGATTGCGAAAATCGAGTGCTTCAAAATCAAGATCCGAGAAAATATCCCAGTCAAAAGATGGGATGGGTTTATCGCTACGACCGCCGAAGTACGAGTCGGCATCGAGCGCCTCGCCGTTTCTGGCATCCGCAGTTTCCGTCGAAGATAGATCGCCTTCGCTGTCGAACAGAATCGAAGGTCCTCTTATCTATTCGGGAAATATGAGCGACGAATTCTTGGAAATCAAAGATTGTCCCGGTTTTCCTGGGCTGAAAAGGGAGTTATACGCTTCAGCAGTGAAAAATAGAAATATTTCGAAAGTGAACAATTCAAGTCAACAAGCGCGTTTGGATCCGTCGCCCTCTCTCAACATGCAAAGGAAGCCGCTGGAAACTGTGATCAAGATGGACCAATTGCCAAAGCAGAGTATCATGAACCAGAATAGCAAAGTGGGAAAACCTAAGAAAAGGTAAAAGTTAGACCTGGTATAAAAAGGGAAAAGTCGCCTGCATACAAAGTGTAGAAACATTCTCAGAAAGTGGTTGTTATGTCTTGATCAGGCTGGATCTCTAGCATTTTCTCAAACTAATTACCCGATTTGACCTCCATACAAAAAAAATGCTTATTATACAACTCCATGCATGGGTTCTATGGAAAAAATTTTTATCATAGAATTCCCATTTATGAAAATTGTATGATAAACATTTTTTTTGCATTGAATTTTTTTCAGGAAAACCTTTAAACAGAATTTTTTTGTAAGTTTAAATGAGCTTGATTTGTTTTCCGATTAAGTTAGATCAAGTTTGCCCATTTTTTTTTATTTTTTTAGTGAGCTCTAGGAGAGCTCGGAAAATCAATTTGATCGACCTAAAAAAAGGTCGTCAAAATTAAAAAAGAAATTCGAAAATTTTTTGAAAATCCGCCTCCTCTCGAGAAAATTCTAGATCCGCCCCTGCTTTGAGGTGTACCTTTGTTACTCCCTCATGATCAAGAAATGTTTTGATTTGAAAAAAAGTCAAAAACTCGATGAAGATGATGTGTTTTTCTATTAACTTTGTCACCAATCAGGCCAATTTTAAAGATTTTTTTGAAAAAAAAAACGTTCCACAGATTTTTTTACGATTTATAAACAATTAAATTTCGAAATCTCTTTATTATTCCAGGAAGTCGAGCTCACTGGAAAAACAAGAAACAATCGAGACGTACCCACAGCAGAACTGCATATGCAGAGTACTGAAGAAACTTCTTCCCTGTTTCCGCCCCCTGTTCGAGTATTTCCAATCCGACCAATTTTCTAAAGACAACGCCGACAGTGTGTCCAAGTGGCTCTTTCCCGCAACATTCCTTTTATGGAATATTCTCTATTTTTCCATCACGCTTTCTTTGGCGGGGAGGCTGCAGTATTGGTACATATGAAGAAAAAGCAGTTAAACAGCAAAATTGAAACAAGACACCAAAAATTAACATAAATTGAATTTGTAGTTGTATGGATCTTTTCAAGTTTTCCACATGAGCTTGCGTCGTTTTTTTACTTCGCTTATCTAGATAATTTCATAAAAAAGTTTACATAACATTTATACAGCGTTTAAATTTTCTACCTCACCTGGAAAACTTAGAAAAAACCAGTTTAGTTTACATTGCTCAAAAAAGGATGGAGTTATAAGTCAGTGCGGGGAAAAACTGAGTAATTGTGCAAATTGTTTTAATCCAGTTTTATTTCACGAACCCCCTACCCTAACCGTAACCAGTTGCCAGAACTGAGCCGCAGAAAATTTGAGCAAATTTTTTGACTCCTAGAACAAAAATGTTAGCTATCGGCGAAGTTTCAAAAATGCCTGGTATGATAATTTTTCCCCCGACATTGATTTCCCAAGCTTTATGTAAAGTTTGAATTTGTGAGTCTATCAAACAATATCTCGTTTTTTAGCTGAGCAAAATTGAATTATGTAAATATGAATTTCCAATTAGAATTGTCAAATTTCATGAGCTTGTTTCAAACATTTTTATGTTTTTTTTTAGTTTCACGATTTAAACGTTGGTTCTGATTGAGTTACGTTTGAAATATTTTTATGACTGAATTTAGTTAAAGGTATCTGAATGAATTCAGCTGACAGGGGTAATTTATGATACAGTCTTCACTAAAATTTGCTATTAGGCTATATGGGACAATTTTTTTAATCGCTGCGGCTACTTTTGGTCCCACAATTGAATAATAGCCGTAATATTTAATGGGTAGAGTCAACAGTGTCTAAGCATTCCTTTTTTTTTGTTTATCTGATGGATATTCGTGCTAAGTGGCTTTTATTCACAAAAATGTAAAAAAAAGTTTTGATTTAAATTTAGAGGCACTTAGCACAGTGGTAAGGCGTTCACGTTGAAATCGTCAGAACGTGTATACGATCCCATGCCATGGCAAGGATAGTGTGTGAGGACAAGCTCTCACTTGACCTCCAGCTTCAGGTCTACCACAACCTGACCAAATTTGGCAGCAATAGTGGTACCACGTAAAAGTTCCAGACGCAAAAAAAAACGGCCTTGAGTCGCAATAAAACAGCTTCGCTCAGCTAAATAACACTGTCTGGAATGTGGGTAGATAATACAAATGGACTTTCCTCAACAGGACTGTTAAGGCCTCCTGATAGCTCCTCTGCGATTCGCAGGAACTACAATTATTATTATTATTATTATTATTATTATTGTTAAATCTAGAAACTTTGACCAGAAAAACCTCACAAGATTTTGGCGTTAAGAGAGTTAGTAAGTAACTGGCTGTAAGTACTGTAAGTAACTGGCTGTGATTTTCAGACAAACCACTAGGCACGCCTGTTACGCTCTGGTTCGCTTGGATCTTTGTATGACACGTTTTTGATCCTATTGGTTTTGCTGCTCTGTATACGGTTAGAGCCCTTAATTATTAGTCGCCAAAACGTGTAGATGATTTCATTAATTATTATTATTATTATTATTATTATTATTATTATTATTATTATTATTGTTAAATCTAGAAACTTTGACCAGAAAAACCTCACAAGATTTTGGCGTTAAGAGAGTTAGTAAGTAACTGGCTGTAAGTACTGTAAGTAACTGGCTGTGATTTTCAGACAAACCACTAGGCACGCCTGTTACGCTCTGGTTCGCTTGGATCTTTGTATGACACGTTTTTGATCCTATTGGTTTTGCTGCTCTGTATACGGTTAGAGCCCTTAATTATTGTCGCCAAAGTGACAATAATGATGGGGGCAAAGGACATGTCTAGAGGCGAGACTCAAAAAATGACACGGTTGTCTGACTAAAAACAGCTTAATACAGGAAGTGACCCGACGATATTCACGATAAGCACCGTACCGTTCAACGTGAATACTGTTGATTGGGGGAGGACCATGAACGAGAGGGTGCGTCACGTCAATGGCGCTATTCAGCAGATTCATCAACAAAGTCTCCTACCCTTGAATCTACTGAACGTGCCTCACAGGATGGATCAATCGTTACCACAGGGATGCTCATCAGACGGAGTTTTCCAGTGAGCGACTTTGTGGAGAAGAGACGCTTCTTTTTTGGTCCGCCTCCAGATCCATTTTTTTTCTGACAAGATCAATCGAGTCCAGATTGAGAGAACAAAGGGACTCCATGGTCCGTGGTAGCAGCAGGAGAAGGCTCTTCGGCTCTATAGTGCGCAAAATTGAGACTTGAGAAACTCTTACTGCTCAAAATTCGGTGAATGAGTCAGCCGCGGTGACGAAACCAGGAGGTGAAAGTGAAACCACGAGTCGAGTTCAGGAAAACTCGACGAGCAAGTTCAGGTATCTAGAGCGCCTTAAGAAGTTTGATAGACAAGAATTGAAGTTTTGTCAAGAACTGATGGAAGCACTGGAGCAAACGAGCTGATAGAAGCACTGATCGAAGCTAGGATGGAAGCACTGGAGTCTACCAAATGAGAACCTGGGCGACCAAATTCGTGCGGGAGATTGAAGACTCATGTAGCTCATTTCTTTCGAGCCTCAACTCTGGAAATGGCGAAGTTGCAGAGGAATGCAGAGGAATCGTCTCCCACTCGGTCATCAAATTACAGTGTACATAAGGAGTTGGGAGGTCTAAGATCCGTTGTGGAGGACCCACCTGGCTAGGATACGGATAGGTACTCCCGCCCAACTGAGGACCGCCGATAGTGTGAACATTCGTCATGCTGGCAAATGACACCATCTAATCTTTATTCTGGAAGGATCACGCGAGTGCCAATCTAAAGACAAAAAAGGTACATGAAACCTTGAGATACTTGAGTCCCTGTTGTTTGCATTGTTAATGGAGAATATACTGAATATGTCCGAAAACTTGTTACTGTAGTTAATACTGTAGTTTCCATCGGACATACGAGGAAACCTTGAAGGTCAGTGGATACTAAACAATGAGCCTCTTGAACCACGGAAAATTGACGGTGATTCATCACATGATCATATATGTGGACGAAGTGTCGATGAGCCAGATCCACCCGAATCTAGACACATAAGCAACTGAGTGCGCTGCAGTCTTACAGACGTTGTTAGTAGAGTAGTTGTTTATGCAAAATCGACACCTGACTGGAGAGGAAATGAAACCAAAGACTATAGGCGAGCTGGTGGAAGTCAAGAGTGGCGTGCCCTGGTTCAAGGACCTGTCTCTAGCCGTGACATAGGATCCCCTTGGGATGATCAAAGGTTTAGGAGATGTCTTAACCTGCATTTATGGCCCAGAAGTCACGTTCGCGATTCCCTACCCGCTTGTATAAGTCTACAGCATTCAGTGACACGCATCAGTCTGATCAGTGTTCTGGACGGAACAACCTTGAATCGGAACAAACAGGAGTACTTATGAGCACAGATCGAGAGATGAAGGATTCGAAAGGATAAGGGACCAGAAACTAAACGAGCTTAACTTCACATGCCAATAACATGGCGAAATGGCGAGAGAAGGGTGGGACGACCAAATCGAAAAGTCCCTAAATTTTGGAACCTCATCCCACTGGATAAAAAGACCTGACCAGATCTTGAGAATCCCAGTCAGGGAGGAGACTTTCAAATTGGTGGGAGAAGCGATGAGCGTGATACTAGAGAGCAACGTGTTGCGCACGACATCTCCAGAGTTCCCGATTATGCGGGAAACTGATACTGAGGATGACTAGTCCCTTGTGGGTGCCATTCATTGGAGCTATAGATCTGATGGAAAGACAAAAGAAATCTTTACTCAAGGGTGGGATCCATTGTTCATCGGTTACACAGCAGCGGCCAGATTTCATTTGATGGGAATTACCATCAACTTCTGGACGGATAAACCCAGACAAGCCCAGAGGATCTCTGCCACCACGATGTGGGATGATCAAAATCAAAAAAGTATTAGAGCAAGCTAGGTTAAATCACATTGATCCCAAAAATCGAGAAGGCAGGAAAGTTCTATAAGAATGACATCTAGTTCTCAAGGTGGATCGGACATGCAGCACTAGGAAGGATTTAGTATCAAACGGAGTGGTGGAGATAGAGTTGAATGGCAGGAGACGACAGCTAGGATCCACAGGGTTGCTCTTGACTCATCTTGGGAAAAAATGAAGTTTTGAATCCTGTCACACTCTCTCCTCTGTCGGTTGATACTCCAGGAGATAAGAAAATTCTACCAGTGTAGAGCCGTTTTGAAAAGGCATTGGAGAAAGAACGTCTCGGAACGATGATTGAAGAGGAGATGGGCGATTTACCCAGCGACATCGAACTGATAGACACGGAAAGCGACAACGGGACTCTAGAGCACCGATGAAAGATAAATGACTAAGAAATAGCTTCAATAGAACATGGGTGAAGAATGAGTGGGGTCACACTACCACACCACTTTTAAGATCGCCCCGCAACAGTTACGAGCTGTAGTTACGACAATCTTGATGACGACGCTCTTCAGCGATATCCCGAGGGAAGGCAATACCTTTGAGGGAACAACTCTGCGTTCCTAAAATCCATTACGTCGACACATTGGGACACCTTCTGACTTAATTTCAATCAGCGGGTAAGGAGGAAGGTAGTTGTGTAGGAAGTCAAGGAGGAGCTGTGGCTTGTGGTGGAATATGCAGCGCCTGTCTTGAATCAAGTCTGTCTTGGATGGTTGGGACATGATTGAATCAAGTCGCTCGAGAAAGGTTGCTGAAGAAGACGATTCATACTGGAGAGAAGAGACCTGCCACGATGCCCAAACCCCGTAAAGACAGCTTTACTTTAAAAACTAGGTAAAAAGAAAGATATCACTGTGACAGCTCCAATTTTTTTTAGTATACCTAGGACAAAAAGACTTGAGAGAGGAAATGGGAGTGTACAAGGGTCAATGCAGGGGAATTCGGAATAAGAAGCCATGCCTTCACCTAGAGAATCAAAGTTTTCGAAAAAAAAACATGCAGTGGAGGAGCACAGTTCATACGGGGAGCAGTGTCAAAGACAAATTCAAAAAGGTACCTCCTATGGTGTTGTTTAGATCGAAGACCTTGTAAAACAGGGACAACTCTACTTC